GTTTTTTCAAAATGATAACAAATAACTCAAATATCGTATTCTTTTTATACACGTTGCTGGAGAGTATTTATTAAAAATAGAAAATAGAAAAAGAATTTTTCTTTCTCACGATAAGGTCTATTTTGATTCGTGGAAATGACTTTAGAATATATCTTTCAGCTTTCTGTTTCCTTAGAGATGTATTTCTTTTCTGACGCATTAAAAGAGAGCAATGAAAGATAAAATATATCGTATCATATTAATTGTTTTATTTTCAAATTAGGTTTTTGTTATTAACAAATGCGCAATTTCATATTTAATAAATAATTTGTTTTTTTAAGATTTGAAGTGAACGGATATACAAACTTGATAAGAAGAATACTTGTGCAACAGTTTGATTACATAGTTTCTAAAAGAAGAAAATAAAAATAAAAAAAAATACTTCAAGGACATCGAGAACTCTAAAATACCAAACTTGTACCTAACACGTGCCATCTTCGTAATACTAGAACTTTATCAATTAAAAAAATAAATATTTGATGAGATCAGGTATTATCTCTATCAATAAGATGCATTTAGCCTAGATTTATTTGAATTCTATACATATAAAACTTGAGTTTTTACATTTTAAAATTAGTTTTTGTGTATTCTAGAATAAGGATGATAGTGATATGTCAATCTTTTACACAATTTATAGAAAAAATATCGAAGATGTCATGAGCAATATTCACTTATGTTTTATAAAAATAGTACATTTAAAAAAATACTTGTCAAAATGATACAGATTTATGGAAAATAAAAGGATCGATCAGTAAAAGTATTTTTATGATAAATATGAAAGTATTTTGTTGTTATGTGCAAAATTTGTCTTTATTCAAAGAGGCAAATAATTATTTTCAATACAAATATAATCATGAAATACTTCAGTTTAATGACAAAAATATATATTGAAGAAAGAAATTATTAAATTCAAGTTCCCACGTGAAAACTGAAGTTGTATACGTATAATCAAAAAATTGCGCAGAATATTTATTTCGAATAGAACAATGTCTAAATTTTAGTATAGTTTGTAGACGGATATATACAGGGAAGAATGATTAAAAGTGTTTTTATAATGTGAATAATTACAAAAAGAAACAAGTTGTTTGGCATAATATTTATCGATTTCTGATTAAGGGAAAATGTTGATCAGTAGCATCTTTTCACCGATTGAATATAATTTATTAATTTAGCAAAAACAATAAATATTAGATAATTATAAATGAGAAATTTATATTTTTAATGATGCAAAACAATAGAAAAAATTCATTAAAAAATATAATTGTTAATGAAAAACCTTTTTCGTTAGTATAAATCAGAGTTTTTGTTGACTAGATGATACCGATATAAAACTATTAGACTTATTAAATATTTCTAAACCTCTATTTTTTTTTAATTTCTGTTAATGTTAGTCATACTACAATCATTATTAAAACTATTCCTTAAATTTAATCAGTAATTTCTAATATAAATGTCGCCTTGAATTTAAATTTGAATTTGTTTTTCAAGTGTAGTAGCTCTATTCTATTTATTCAAAAGCTTTTCGAATAAATGGCTATTTTAACAATAACTATATTTTATATTTCGAATTATGAATATCCTACCAGTTTATTTTAAAACGTCAGAAGAGATCGTGAATGTGTATGAGTGTTTGCGGAGGTATAGATATATGATGTCTGTCCCACCCACACGCAGTTTTAAAACTAAGACATAATTTCAACATTCATCAACAAACAGGAAAAAACCATCTTGGGTGTGAGGATGGATACTGCATTCCCCTAGTACTCACACCCACGCCTACACCCTCAAAATCATTGGATATTAAATCCATTTAATGCACTTGTTTGATATCAAGAAATATTTAATTGAATCGATCAATGGATAAAATAGATAAAATATAATAATTTTTTTATATTTTAAACAAATAAGTAAATTCAAATCTGCAAATCAAAGATAACTCACAAATGAATGCCTTCATTAAGCAAATCTTGAAGTCAAATTTCAGATAAGTTTCGAAATAAGGATCTTATTCAAATGCAAAAAAAATAAACGTTTCACTTTCTATAGCTCTCAATATAATAAATTTCAATAAAACTTCGAGCCGATGAGAAAGTTTCGAAAGAAAATCAAATAGTAATACTATATGAACGTTCAAAATAACTATTTTAATGGAAATTGTAACAGAATCTAATATACCATTAACAATGACGTCTATAGTATATTGATATTTGTAACTAATACTTTGTTTGTCTGCTGTAATTAGTTTTCTTTCAATTTTAATCATAAAAGTTAAAATTAAAACAAATAAACTTTCAACGTTTTACTTTAATAAAAAGGAGAAATTAATAAGAAAAATGAATTGAACGAATTGTATCTTGCTCCATTTTAGCTTAACCGTATGAGATAAAAATACATATATATATTTATAATAGAGAGGAAGTAATCAGTATGGTTTCATATATCAAGAGAAAAAAAAGAGAAAGGAGAAACCAAGATATGTTCATGATAATATTCAGAAAAAAACTTTTTTTTATATTTGTGAAAACAGTATTTGATTTTGAAATAAGTTTTTTTCCGATTACTTGCCGATTATATACATACTGTAATATAAGCTCAAAATATTGTATCTTAAAAAATATACTTAGAAAACAACCAATCAACATTAGTTTAAGTAAAGTAGGTCAAAAAGAGAAAAATAAAACAAAGTTTCTTAGTATAACTTCATTCTGTTATTTTCAAGGGAGTATAGTAAGTGATTATTAGATCTCGAAAGACCTATAATTTATTCTAATTATTATTATATAGATATTGAAAAAGTATTAAACGAAAAACAGAAGATGTTATCAAAGAATCTTTTAATACAAATAATAATTCTATTTATTATTAAAGAAATAAGAGGTAAATATAGAAAAAAGTGTCTTCTTAATATCAAAGTGAGTTAAATCAATTGAAATACTAGAATTACCAAGTTCTGTTAGTGCTAACATATTTTAATTCTATTTATTTATATAGAATACAAAAAAGTTTATTATAGGCGAAATCAAATACGTGTAGTTTATTCTATAGATAATTTTAATTTTACTAAATACGAGTATCCAGTTCTCTTAACAGCTACTGTGATATAAATTGTCGTACGATGATATTCTGAAAGTTTAATAATCTATCGATTTATGCAGAAAACTGATTTTATTGTTTCGTCTCCTTAAAAAGAACACTTGTAAGAATGGAGGACAGCAGAATCTCGAAGAGAGATATAAGAATAGTTTCTGATATATATATACTAATATTTTAATTTAGACAAAACAAACAGTGTTAATAGATTTCTAACTATAAACCGAAAACGTTCGCATCTTAGTGAGAAAAACAGTAAAAGAAACGAAATTCTTTTAGTATTTCTTGAGATCCACTAAGTCCCGCTAGTGGCCAGAATATGAATCTTAAAACCTTTAATCAGTTGCTGAGGTTCTCTCGTTAGTTATTTTCTGTTCACTTATTTTATGGCAATGATCGATTTTTTCAAAGCTTCAAAAAATTCGAATCGTATCGTTAGTATTTTGACCGTCTAGCTACGACAGTCTTATATTTCCCATGTTCTGTTAATCGTTTGAGATAAAAAAAACAACGTGAGATAGATACTTTTTCAATAGTGTATTTTAAAGAAGCTTTCCTATAGCTCACATACAATTAAATATGGAAAGGAGTGTGATTTTCTTATGGTTAATTTTAGCTATAACTCGAAAATAACTGTAGAATTTTTGCTTAGAATTCAATTGACTAGCGAAAAGTGTGTACATCGGCTTTAAAAACAAAGCATACGCTCCCGTTACAATAAACCAATTTTCTGTTCATCAGAAGTCTTCTAATAGTTTCCATGCTTTAGTATTGTAAACTATAAAAGAAAACTATATCGATCCAATTAAAAACTAGAGGATGTTCATTGAGCATGAAATCATCGATTGATAGGAATTTTGTGTGAAACTATTTACTTTTTCTATACGGTCGATATCAGTGAAAAATGTCTTGAATATCTTCTCTGGATAGTACTGGAATTAACAGAAAATAAATACGCCATTTTGCAGTATATTAATAGCACCATTAAATAAGATATTTTTGAACTTCTTCACATGTCATCCTTTATAGCAAAGCTACATCGTATTCAATAAGAATCTTGTTGTGTGCTGTTCGTCTTTGATATAACACTGGTTGGATGCTAGTGAATATTCATCACGTCTCATTTATTAGAATTTGCTGTGATTCTCATAATTATCGAATATTTACAGTAATTTCTTTGTCATCTCGTCATAAATTTGATAATTTACTAGAAATTTACTTCAATATCCTAGACTTCCGCAGCTTTTCGTTTGTTGTGCCTTCTATGTTGCTCATAGGCACATACTTGTAAAAATTCCTTTGAATACTGGTAATTTTCATAATTTAAGATGTTTCTACTCTCTTCTGAGTTGATAAAACCTTCTTTCCCATCAGGAAAATTTCGATAATACCTGCTTCTAGAGCCTTAACACTGCTCAATAGATTAACAATTTACATTTATTATGTACTCTAATTTTGCTTTCATTTAGTACTAACGGAAACAGTGGCCGGTAAGTCATACGGAGGCAGCCTAGGAACTCCATTTGATGATGTAGCAGTCCTTGGTGGCCAGAAGATATATGCTCCACAAAAAATCTCCATGACCAAAGGAAAATATAACGGAATACTTTTAGTGGGTAAGTAACAATGTCTTTAAGCTGTCTATGATCGCTATCAGAAATTGCGTAAAAATATGTTTAGTACCAAATTATAACCTTTTGAGAACGAGATTTTTCAATAACAAGAAACGAAGAAGCTATGAATAATCCATAAAATTCAATTGATAAATATGTATAGGTATTTAAGAACTAAAGACAGTGTGTTTAGAAGGTTGCAAAGATTAGTTCCTGTTTTCAGTGGATTCCGGTGGAAAATTTTATCTTGTAATAGGAATGTATCAATATTCTGCTATTATGAAAGTACGATTGGCAGGTTTCTACCAAAAGATACGATTATTTAACGGAGTCCTCTGAAAATACGAGCTAATCTGAGCAACCTTCCAAACACACTGTGCCTATAGTTTGTAAACAATCGTATGTATTCACCAATTCAGCTTAAGAATTGTCCATCGCTCTTTTATTTCTTGTTATTGACAAATCCTGTTCTCAAAAAGCTATGATTTTGCATTAAACGTATTTTCACATAATTTCTGATAGTGATTATAGGTATTAAATGATACATCTAAAACTTTTCTTGTAGAATCGATTCGTATTATATATAAAGCATCTGATGGAACAGCATTCAGTGGATCCAAACATGGCGGAGACAATAATGGAGCATCAAACAAGGCTCAATGCGGTCCCTTCACTTTTAATGCCAGAGAAAAAATTATTCAAGTTAACGGTCGTAATGATTCAAGAATTCATTCATTACAATTTGTTACCACTGAAAACAGAAAAGTACCTAATCCTGCATGTGGCGGTGATGGTGGTGGAGCGTTTAACGATAGTAAACCAGGTTATTATCTGTCGTTTATAAGTGGTAAATCAGGAGATGTATTAGATCAAATACGGTTCCATTGGGCCAAACTTCCAGGTAAGATGCACAATTAAGTTATGCACTCATTGCACCGCTTTGTGAAAGAAAAGTCGAGGGCGTGAGTGTTGATTATTTGGGCAAGAACACACATCCTCAAGCATAATTTGTCATTTAATGCATGAGCTACGTCGGTCTTACTATCAATGACTGTACAGGATAACGGAGATAGTGGAAGCTATGCAGCTATTGACGATATTGAATTACGTATTTGCTCAACTAATATTCTGATTCTTGTCCGACAGGTTAGCCTCTGCGATACTTTTATGCAGCCAAGACAACACGTTTATTTAGTATTTCTGTAAAGCATTTGATAATTTGATTCTATATCTCGTTTAGCTTCTGTTGTATTCTTCTGAATAAACTAGACTTTACCTCAGCTTCATTGATGAAATACGTCATTTATTGATAAACCATTGTATAGGAATCCCTTTGTCTTATAAGAGAGCATCAGTAATTGATTAAGAACTTTAACGTTCATGTTCTGACCATGAGCAGGATTTAGTGAGAGTAAAGAAATTCTAAAAGACATTCTGCCCTCTCGCCTTTTTGAAAGCGATACGAACGTGTCACGTTTACGGTCAGAAATATATATATATATACATCGTTTGTAGTGATTTTGAATTAAAATATTAACATATATAAAGATAAAAGAGTACTTTTTCAAATTCTAAATACAATATTTGCAAAGACAGTTCAAATCATTTATAGTCTTTCCAGAAATCTGGATATTTTTTTTCATTGCATAATTGCGTCATATTATGTGTAGTATTGAAATTGTTAATCGTTGGTAAAATTTTTGTCAGAATGCGGTGTGATCTTATAAACTATATCTTAAAATATTGCAAGAAGTCGTGTATTCTATAATTCTATCGGATACTATATTTATTAGCACTATTAAGTCCTCAGATCTAATGATCCTAAAGGGATAGATCAATCGTATACTAGAACTAGTTGCATACTGTGATTTTAGCTTAAAGTTCAACATGCAAGAAAGTTGAATAAAAATACCGAATATAAGTAACAGATTAATTTAAAATAAAAATCTTTTAATATACACAGATACAACTACGACGTCAACAACAAGGAAAACAACAACATCAACAAGAACATCATCAACAACATCAACAATAACATCGTCAACAACATCAACAATAACAACATCAACAATAACAACATCATCATCATCATCATCAACAACAATAACATCCTCAATAACAACA